GACGGTGTCGGTGGTAAAATGGATCTGAGCGTCAGTCGACTGGACGCAGCTGAGTCACTCAGCATTTCGCGTTCTAAGGAGATACGCGGCACCACGCTGATACTAGACTACTCTGATTGAACTCGCACGCTCTCAGGCACTAGCAGCGTATAATGCACCGATTATTCTTCTCCAGTTGTTCCTTTCCGTTCCTCTAACGTACCACCGCGACATACGATATCAGTGAAGCGAAGCGTTTCTTCGAACGCGACATAGACGTGCATGCAATGTGTCGCATACATGCATCGTATCAGCTTAAACTCCCTCGTTGCATCTTACTCCATTCCAAAACAAAACCACGTTTCACCGTCTAATTTCCTCGAGATGGAGCCCACGCGTTCTCCACGCGGTCGTCTATACACCACGGCTCCCCCGATCCACTAAACTTTCCACCGTGCAGTTTCAAAGTTTTCACTGGATCCCATACGGAAGCACATTCCGGCGTAAAGATCAACACCACGTGCTTCGTCACACGGCACACACATCATGACGAATCTCTCGCTGTCCCTTTATTCATCCACGCCCCATTCTTTTCTTCGTAGCGGATTCCTGCGGAAGCGCAACACATTTTCTCGCATAACACCGCGGAGAAACGAAACTCGCCAGTTTATTTCTCGCTGGCCGTACAGCAGGGTGTGCACGATGTTCGAGATATCAGGGGAAGGCAGACAGGAGGAGGAGAGAAACGCCGAATTGTAATCCCTTGGAATTCGAATTCAATAACGATAACGTCACAAGCAACAGATTCGCATCTCACGGTACGTACAACTCCCGGTCATGCGAAACTTGAAATTCCTCTGGTGCATGTTTAGTACCGCGTACGAAGTGTGGACAAGTAACACCGTAGGAGTACTGATCAAAGAAAATTTCTCAACGATCGAAATGTTTGCCTCGTGGTTCAGCGGGGAATGAACACGGATCACTTCGAAAGTCGCGTTTTCCTTCGGTTCTCTCTACTTTTCCATTGTTCGATTTTGCGAAACTCGGCTCGCATCCTCGCTCAACGGGCGACGGTGACGAACTGCGAGCCGACGAGCAGTAGCTGGCGGCTCTTCACCAAGATTCGCGCGTGTGTGAGTCGTGGGCGAGAAGCCGGGAGCCGCACAGAGGATCGCGCCGCGGTTGGTCGTGCGTGAGGCGGGGGTTGGATGGTGGCTGCTTGCCAGAACCGCTGCCGTCAAGGGGCCGAGAGAGAGAAAGCGAGAGCTGGAGAGAGACGGAGCGAGGGAGTGAAAGAGAGAGGGAGAGGATGAGGTTCGCTTGCCCGCTCACGCGCGCCCTTGCCTGCGGTTACGTCCACCCCTCACTCACTCCCCCATTCTCGCTGTCTCTCTTTCTATTCCTCTCTCGCCCTCCCACCTACAGCCCCCTTCTCGGTTTTCACCATTTCTAGCCAGTTGCTAGTAGCACGCGACCTACCTTGATCTCCTTTTTCTCTTTTTCGCAGTGCCGCTTACCGCTTAACAACCGTGATGTATCGTTAACACAGGAACCAATTTCAATTGTCTTCGAATCACCCTACCACCCCACCCCCGGAGCCACGTCGCAAGGTGACAAAAAGAGCAACACACTCGGTTGCTCGGTACCGCCTAGAAATGTAATTGCACTTGCACACGGCGTAGCGTAAAGGCTAGGCGAGATCCGAAAAACCGAACGATGGATAAGGCTGCGATTGTATCTGCTATTCGTGTTATCAAAGTTGTCCGGTAAGTCGCGTTTGGTGTCTCTACACGAGAGAACCTGTAGATACAAGAGTGATGGTAAAATGGAGCAGAACCTGTCGTGCTGGTCCACTAACCCGGCAAAGACGAACACGCATCGGGTTTTTTGCGCGTACGTTGCGCGACTTAAAAACCGCGCGGCAGAGAAGATTCCGCATTAAGCGCAACAAACGATGAGCATCGTTACTGTCCATGATGGCGTTTAATCTCCCTCTATCTGTCTGTCCACTTGTCTGTCAGATGACGTACTCCCTCTCTCCCTCTTTCTCCTTCGCCCTTCCTATATTTCTGTTTGCTCTTTCGCGCTCAGTTCTTTCTAGCTTGCTGCCGCACGTTGCAAACGAAAAGGCGGCGATGGTAACGGCGGCGGCAGCAGGTCGTGTGCGTGTGACTGGATATGGACGAGGATAACGCCGCGGCGTAGGGAATTACGACGAGTTGCCGAAGAAAGGTGGCGGTGGGATGGGGGCGAGCGGGTGATGGCTCGTTGTCGGTGCTGGCACGGCACGAGCCAGCACGGCGAGGTCTCTCCAAGTGGCGTGGCGCGAGGCGTTGCGCCGCGGCCCGGCGTGGCGTGGCGCGGCGCAGAGGACTGGCGTGGCGCGAGGCGGATAGGGAACCCAGGCGCGGCACGGCGTGGCCCGAACCGAGCCGACTCGACTCGACTCGACGTAGCGCGCGGTGGTTGAGGGAGCGGAGCAAGTGCCGTCACAGGACAAGCTCGATCCGTGCTGTTCGGCTCGTCGAGGTGATGAGCCCTCGAGGCGGGCGGCGGGTGGAGGGTGGAGGGTGACGAGCGACTGGCGGCAGGCGGCGCACGGCGGACGATGGACGGCATGCGGCGAGAGGTGAACGGTGGGTGGCGTGCGGCGTGCGGCAAGCAGCGAGAGACGGGCGGCGGCCGCTTCATAGCTTGCTCGGCGAAAGAGGGAGAGAGCGAGCGAGCGAGCGAGCGAGAGGGTGAGCGAACGGTCGAACGGATGGACCGTGGAGACCGTGAAGCGTGCAGCGAGTGTGTTGGAGGGCGATGAAGCGTCGGCGCTTGAGGGGAAATGAGAGAACCAGGAGGCAAAGAAGAGACGAGGGTGTGGAGAGCGAGGAAGCGTGTGAGCCGGTAAGGCGTCGGCGGCGGGGTCGGAGGAGATAGACGGCGGCACGCGCGGCGCAAACCGCTCTACCCACGCAAACCTACCAACGTACGTGCGAACGAGCTTGTACGTGAGAGCGTGCGTGTCAAGCTGCCGCTGCCTGCCTGCCTGCGTGCCAGCGTGCCGGCTCGTCGCTCGCTCGACCGCCACCGTCGTGTCAGCGTGCCGTTTCCTCTGCCTACCTATACTCCTATGTTCACGAACGCGGCAAACTGATGTCGGTTTCCACGCGCCCCCTCAACGACAGACCTGATCCAATCATTCTCTACCATTTTATCTTTCCAAATTAATCGCCACGATCCAAGTAATTTAGCGGAATCGACCAAACCTACCGCCCACCTTGTGCTCATTTTTTTACTATCAATTTTTCTTTTTCCACAATTTCTACCCAAGTTTCCGATCTTTTCTACCTATCGTCCAGTTATAGTCATTTTTTACCGTCGCACTTTTTCTGACACTCGATCGTTCTAACCGCTCGCTGCAGATTTTTCGAAAAAATCTTCTCGAAACGCACGGGGCGAAACACGAAACAGTCGCATCGTGGAAATAATCAATGTGGGAACAGACATGCTGTGGAAGAGAAAAAAAAGGAATCGGAGTAAGATGAAGGTGACAGACATGGATCGGAGTAGTTTCTCTGGTTCCTGGTGGAAGAGAAAAGTAGAATGAAATAGCGAGAGAGAGAGAGAGATCGCGAAATCTTTGAACACGGATAAGGGAAGAATTCGCCAAGCTTTTTCGCGGCACGGTGCGCATCGCGCTATGTCCATACCATGGCCACGCCATTACCGTACCCCGTTACCACGCCGTTATCGCATCGTTCTTTTGCCACACGTAGCACGCTCTGAATCGCGGTATACATATACCTCTTCTCTCGTTGCACTACACTTTCCATCGAGCGCTCTCCCTCTCTTTTCTTTTTCCCTCCCTATGTTGGAGGGCTCGCTTTCGCTTCGGTTCTTAAATGCAACTAGGCGGAACTGGCAAGGACGCGGTTACACCTCATCAGCGCCGACGTATCGTCATGCATGCACGTTCCAACGAATCGTTCATTCATCTATTGCAAATGAATCACCAAACGGAAGTGTAATAAAGAGGTTCGGGTTAGATTAGATTCTACCTCTCTTTCCTATTTTCACGTCGTCCCTTACGATCATTGCCTGTACACGCTATTTCGCAACTGCATCTACTCAAATATTTCACCGAACTTGCTTCCGGTGAAAAAAACTCGGCAGGTATTAAGGTACCTATCTACTTTCGCTGCTTCCGCTAATACAGCAATCGCGTGTGCACAACTATTCCGGTAAACAGATGGCTGGTGTACGGGTTCGATTATCTCGCGATTCTCTAACCAAAGAAGAAAAAACTGGTATCGATGCGTCATCGTTTTTCGAAAGATTTCGCCGTTTCGGAGCTCCGGTCGTCACCACTCTTCGGAACTGTCGTCGTCGTCTCCATCGAGTACGACTCGATCGATCGATGGCAAACTCAACGTGCCACGTACTTTTCGCGATAAGGTGCAGGATAGAGGAAGAGAAGGGAGAGACGGAGAGAG